CTCAAGAAAAGCATTAAACTTCACTGTTGATACTTGAGTGTCACAATCCTGTTACTTTTATTTTAATCCAAAACATTGCCTGTCTCTATTATGTCTATGACTGTTTTTTCCCAAACTCCCTTGAAGAAAACATTTTAAAATAAAATATTTTAGATTTTAGGGAGTCTTCTAGGACGACTATTATTGACTTTAATAGTTTGGAGCTGCAGCACAGAAATTTTACAAGGCAAAGGAAATTTTTCTTACAGCACTTTGGGTGATTTTCCAAGCCAGTAAAAAATAGGAGATTAACAGCACTGTGTGGTGCCATGTAAAATGCAAGAAAACACTGTGCAATTTTTTCCAGAGAAATATAGTGAAGCCTGTATTTCCCAGATACAACATGCTAAACAGTTACAGTATGAGGCTGTCCCTAAATACTCTAGCAATTACAGGCACTGCTGCAAGCTACACAGGGTGGTTTGTGAGCTCAAGTTCACACAAAACAGATAAAACTTCAAAACATTTATTTATAAGTGAAATAAAGCTTCTCAGACTAGTGTGCTATCATAACAATCATTCACTGACTGATGGCACAGAGGTCAGACATTAGGAGGGAGGGTTTCTTAAGTCTTCTCTTTAGGACTACTGAAGTAAGAGGAGGAAAAAAAGTTAAAAGCCTTACTTGTAAATGATTTTTTTAGGAGGATAGACAGTGCTTTCTCTTCTAGAAGATCTACTCATATAATGGAAAATAAATTACAGCACATGCTCAAGGCATCACCTGGTACTGTCATTTTTGACAGACTTATTTTATCTGAAAGCAGGGAGCCTTGCAATTTTAAAGCCTTTTAAAAATTATGCTTTTCTTTGTGATACAGAAATAAATTATCCAAGCAAGGGATGAGGTTCAAATGCTGTGGTACCAAGCTGCTGTGCTACCAGGAGATTGGATAGGTCAACTAACGTGTCACACTGACAACTAAATTCCACAAGTAATTTAAACACCTTAACAAGTTAAAGGTATGAAAAACACATAATGCTAAAGTACTACAGTTCTTAACAGCTACATGTTCTTTCAGAAAAAAAAAAAGGAAGCACAAACTTAAGCCCCAGACAACTGGCTATTTTCCAGTTATTCTACAAGCTGAGTTACTAATCATGTTTTTCAAACACTAAATTATGCTGTCCTAACGTACTTTCAAGACAACTGTAGCTTAGTGAGTTGTAACTTTTAGATATGAACATATAACATGATCCAATATAGGAGTTAAGAAATTCTTGTGACTTATGATATTAGGTAACAGGACTGTAAATTCTTCTGGAGCTCTTAAGTTGGTCTGATTTTTCCTGCATATACAGCAGCATGCCCAAGTTCACCTGGCATTTCTTGTATCTTTTCCAGCATAAATGATGCTATGATTCCATTTCATGCTGCTTTTACTAAGCATTCATACTGGCAACAGACTCGAGGGTGCAGAAAAGCTGGGGTTAAAATTAAGCCAATTCATTGGAATTAAAGTCAGGAAGTAAAATATATCTGAATTTGTGAACTTTATAGGTCTGACTTTACTGCTAGGGGGTTTTACATTAGAATTGCCTTTGGCTGGAACTTGGGAACTTGTCTGAAACTTACCTCCTCTCCTCCCTCATCCCCCACCTTCACTGGCAGAGAAAAATTTTCTATCTGTATTAGTATCTATGTGCACCCTTCACTTCATCAACTATCTCATATTTCTCTCCCGGAAAAGAGACACAGAGAAGTGTTATCAGCAGTTTTGTCTCAGCACTTATATTCAGAAACAGGTTTGTAAAAAGTTTGAATGTTTGGTTACAACAGAAGCGGGGAAAAAAGCCTCTCAAATGTCCCTCCTCTAACATCCAAAAACTAACTGAAGTTGGGCTTTTCTCTCTCCCAAATTTACAGGCTGTGAGAAAGTGATCATGAGCCTAGGTAGAAAAATATAACAGAAGAATAAATCACAGTGGTACCTCAAGTTGGGAATGGGCTGAAACAACTATGCCAAAGGCAGCAGCTCTAATCTGAATCCCAAGGAAGTCTATGAAGATTTCCAGGAAGCACGTCAGTTACAGCAATCATATATTTGCAATGGGAACTAATACTAGGACACATCAGTATATCAGAAACTAGACAAAATTTATTTAATGTGAATCACTGAGCAGACAGCAGACTGCAAAACTGATTAAGAAAAAGTGACCAACATGGAGACAAAAATCCATATTTTACTGCCAAATCTCTTTGTTATCCATTTTCCCGTTGAATGTCTTTTCAGACGTAGCTGAAAGAACTCAATGAAATAAATGCCAATTTTCAATAGACCAAAGATAAAGGAACCTTATTTTTCATAAATGAAATAACCACCTGAAAAATGTTCTGCCATCTCTAATTATTTTGTCATTAATATGTTGCCTTGCCATATGTTTATGAAGTCCTACAAGTCAACAGGACATCAGCTTATGCTGCTGTTAGTAGAATGGACATCAACCCTATCTGTACATATTGCCATGAATATGAGAAGAAGCAACAGTAATGAAAGAAAAAAGTTCCAAGAGATGATAACAAACAAATGTGACGAGAATAGACTACAATTATGGCAAAGAGTAAGTACAGGTAAGCAAGTGTGTGTTGAGAAAAGAAAGGTATTTTATTGCCTATCACAGTGCAACCTTCAGTGTTCAAAGGTGTATACAGCTCTTCTCCTCCTTGCTAATGAGACACATTCTTCCACAAACACAGCTCAGACGCTCAAGGCACAATCTACCTCATACATATGTTGAATTTATATCCCTGGAGAAAAAGCAAACAGTTAAATTCTACTATAAGGGTTGACATAGATTTTTCATCACTTAATTCCAAATAATAATTTAATCCTATACTTGCACTTTCATAATGAGGGGACAAAATAAAAGAAATAAAAAATTAGTGGCTCACTGTGTTTGTACAGTTCTGGGATTTGGGGATTTTGCTATTTTGAAGAAAACTGTGAGACCTTGTTTCCCAGAATCAGTGCAAGACTTTTGCTACTAGACCTCATATTTCACACACTCAGCAGTTCAGAAAATTAACTAGAAGAGTACTGGGGTAGGAGGGGGGTGTTTGGAAGAGAAAAAAAAAAAAAAAAGAGATCTGGATTTTCTTCCCATTTTGATTCTGGCCAGGGCAGGATTAATTTTTGCAGTAGCCAGGAGAGGCATGGCTACAACCCACAGGTTATTCTATACCACCTTATGTTATTTTCTGGGGAGAGGGAAGGGGTCCTTTCCAGGTCATGGAGCTTGGCAGCATGGTCGGATGTGGTCAGAGCTTCTGCCTGGTGAGCATTCGCATGTGAATTGTTCACCTCTCTTGTACAATTTGTTATTAATATTGCTGCTGATACTGATAGTTTTCATTGCTGTTTCCATTAAATTGTTCTTATCTCTTATCTTTACCTTTTGTGTCTCCAATTCTCTTACCCATTCCACTGCAGCAGGGAGGGGGAGGGAGAGGACAGAGTGAGCGAGTGGTACGTGGTTTTGAGTGTTTCAGAGGGAACACTAAATTGGGAAATACCATTCCTAAACCATGACTTCCCCACAGCAGTTCCAATAAATTAGAACTTTTGTCTCAAAGATCTGCTAATAAGAAACCAGTATCTGACTTTCTCCTATTATTTTTAGATGTAGATATAAAGATATCTGCCAGTAAAGCAAGGTAAATTAGGAAATTTTCCTGTTTAACTTACTTGCAGTTCTATTCCAGAGGAAGGTAATCAGTGAGCACATGTATTTGTCGATATCCCAGCAATTTTAACTGTAACTGGAAATTGTAACAAAAAAATGCCTTTTCAGGAGCTGGAATTGACAGGCAGTGGAGATATAACACCACCATCTTGACTTCTATTACAAGCTAAAAAATTCCTGTCCATGTAGCTTTTAATCAAACCCTGTATTTGACATTACATGATAACACTGACCACTTTTTAATTCTTTCTAAGAATGCTGTCACCTGTACTCATACAGAAAACTTCTGTTCTAATTTCTCTCCTTTTCCAAAATCAGATACTTTTAGCAGTAATGGATCTGCTGAAATTAATTATGAGCTGTTGTTTTCCACTGGATATTTACCCTGTGTAAAAGGACATTTTTTGCTTGAAGACTAGGCAACTCATAATCAAGGTCATAGAAACAGCTTATTGCTAGGTGAAAAGCTGAGGAAGATACTCAAACTGAGGCACAAGGACTGAAGAGCCATACAGAGGTGTATCAGTAGAGCACAGAAAGCAAATATGAACCCACTAGAATGAACAATGAAAGCAAAAGTAGAATAGATAAAAATGAAAGGATATTGGTCAGAGAAATCGGAATGAGAAACATAAAATGAAAAGCAGTTTTAAAACAGAATTTAGTGAATAAAATGGAAAATTCATTTCCATCTTCAAAATGTGTGAAAACCAAGGAGGGACTGGCATTCTGCTATAACTATCATATGGGGCTAATTTAGCTGGAAATACAGTCAAAAGGAAAGTAAATTTTACAGAAATAAAAAAGCCCAACTCTTCTGATTTTTTTTAGAATAAGCTTTATCTAGTTGAGTAGTTCTTTTCACATGCTCAAAAAGATACTCCTAAAGAAGTGTAAATTCAAAGCATGAGTCATGTTATTCACAAAGCATAGGTGGTAACCAACCATAGGCTGCTACAACAACCCTGAGCCAAAGGCTGAATATCTTATTAATATCATTAATTGTGATAAGGCTTTATCAACTCCTTATTGTGCAGTATAAAGTTCCTATGCCATTATAACTGTTTTCTTCTGGCACAGAGTTGGCAATAGTTTAAGAATAGATGCAATGTCTCACAAAAAACCCCAATACTGTCAAAATCCCTAATTAAAGGAATGACTGAAAGAGTGTGAAAAATAGGGCAGTAAGCAATTTTCAGGCCAAAGCCTTCTTGTCCCTTTCCCTAACCTACTCTAAGTGCCTGGGACCAGTTCCCAGCAGCTGCTGATAAACTCACCGTCAGAGCCAGCAGTTTTCCATAGGTGAGATGGGCTGGGATGTGGTCACTCTTGGATCGCAGTGACTCCACATACCAATGCTCTGCTTCTGGCAGCCGGCTCATTCTCATATAGGCTTCTCCTACAGGGGGAAACAAATGCTGGTGAGAATATTCAAAATATCTCAGGGCTTCCATAATTTGTTTATAATCTTCTATGTTTTAAATGTGTAAATCTTGAAAAAGATGAAGTGATTTGAACACTTACAATGACACACACACACACATGCAAAAAAAAAAGCCCTAGAGATGCTTGAATGAGGATATTGAGTTAAGACCTTATTAGTGCTGAAAGAGCATGGTTGAGATAAAACCCTTGCTGGAACAGAATTGCCAGAGAGAGCTCCAGATGCTAAGTTTCAGTCAAAAGTCTCAAAGTAACAGAAATTTTATCACATCTACTGCAGAAAAGTTACTTCTTTTCCATCAGTCTACATTGCAAAGCACAGAATTGCAGGGAGAAGATGGAAAATATTTTCATTTAATCACAATAAATCAAGAACCTATTTTGTTTTAAAAACTAGGGAAGTTTAAGAAAACAGTCCTGAAACTATATATCTTCCCAAAATTATGAAGTTACAGTTTATTGGGTGCTAATACTGGAGGATCAAAAGAGGACTACAGTTGACCTAAGTAAAGGTCAGCTAAGTCTGCCTCCAGGTGAATCACTGCCCCCAGTTATGCACTATATGTAAATTAATAACTGTAAAGGCATCAGGGAGAGAGAGGGACCAACGTTCTTTTTTCAAGCTTGAAGCCAACAAACACACCCCCAAAACTCTGAGAAAAAGATGCTCAAAGAAGTAAAATAAGGAACTCATATAAGGAACTATCAAGTATTTACAGAGGCTATGGAGGATTTTCTTGATGAGAGAAACTTGGACAAGGCCCAGTGAGGTTTAGTTTTTCAAGGGGTTTTCTGGCTGTTTTTGTCACCAGAGGATCTGGATCCCAGGCAAAATGTAGAACATAAGTGTAGAGTTTCAGGAGTTAGGGTGCAGTGCATGCAAGATGACCAAGCCACAGCCCACAGATAAAAATGAGCATGGTATAGAGTCAGAAGTCACTTTGAGCTAAGGCTGAGGGAAGCCAACATGATTTTTATGAACATACAGAGTTTTTTTCCAAAAAGCGGTGCAAGCCTGTAAATACAGCAGACCAGGATTTCTAACTCAAGGATCTACAGAGCATTCTGTATTCATGCACTGGTCTTGGATATCTGATTATACACACAGAAGCAGATGATGTTTCAGTTTCAGTACTCAAATAATTCTGCTGCTGTTTAGGGCCAAATGAAAAGAACAATTTTCAGAAAAAAAAACAACAAAACAAACAAAACAAAACAAACAAACAAACAAACAAAAACAACCCAGGCCAAATTAGAATTAAAAAAATCCAAACAGGTAAGAAACCCCAAAAGAACATGAGCACACCCAAAACCCATGATCACATTCAGTGATATTAACGTCACAGTCAGTTGTTTCACTATGTCAGTACTCAAAAATAAGTGACATTACATTATACTCTATATGCACAAAACAAAGTCATGAAGTGCTGAAAGGATGGAAGAAGCCAGAAGTCAAGCTATATGCTCCCCCCAACTCCTTTCCCTAGCTGCACACTTTATGGCAGAATGTTTAATTATCTGATTGCATGCTATTTTTCCCACAGGCCTCTGCTTCCTTTAGCATACAGGAAATGAGGAATCCATTGTTGTCCTTTTCTTTAAGTGGAAAATTCCAGCCCAACCTGTTACAGCTTGGCAAAGTTTCAAGTAATTAACAAGAAGATGCTTTAAAAAGTAATGTAAGCAGCCAAAAGAGATGGAGCTGTTATCTACTGGTAGTAAAGGCTGAATGTACTGCCAAATTTCAAATAGATCCAAAATTCTCATCTATTTTCCATGATGGATTCTGATATAAGAAGAGATTAAAATCTTTGGAATACTGGCAAATTCAAATTTTAATAGGCTTTAAGAACTCAACTGCTTTACAGGCTAGCTACTTTACAGGTTATTTCTGAGTGATGCACCTACAAAAAAAGCTACAACATATCAATCTAAATGTCAAACTGTAGAGAAAGAAACTGTATTCCCCTGAAGCCTTTGCAGGGAATTCTCTATTGCTGATCATTTTTTTCTGAGGAGGTGATTTTCTGCCTATAACCCCTGCATAATCAAGAATTGCTATATTATAAGTAATTAGAACATTATTAAAGGAGATACTGTTAGGGGGTTTGTTATTAATTGCATCTTATAAATGATTCACAGTGATACCCTTATCTAAAAAGAAATCAAAGTAAGTTGAAAGCTGAAAATGGTTCCTACCACTGCCATACTCAAAAACCAGAATAAAATCAAGCAATGGCTTGATCAATCAAGTGATTTTATGCATTAGATTGATGCAATTTTATAACAGATATTCCATTTTAAGATAATTTTCCAACAATATCAGAGAAAACATGTATGGATTGACTTCTGCCATTCAGGGTGTATTTGTGCGTCTGAGATTAAAATAAGAATAACAATATTTGCCATTTACAATCAGCATTTTTATAAACTTGCAACACAAATGAATTTAGCCATCAGAAAGATAACAGTGTCCATCAGCAGAAAATATGTAAACCAACAGCACACGTATAAGCAGGTTTCTGTATTTAATTTAACAATTATTTATTTTTCAAAATCTTTCAAAATTCATGCTAAAGATCTGAAAGATCACACACTGACACTTTATTAACGAAATTTGTCAGATCTATAAAGTTCAACGGACATAACAACAACGGAGAAAGAAATTCATGGCAGTGGAAACCTTAAGACATAAATTGACACTTATTTCCGTTCCCTAATCTGTATCAACACACAGACACGTGCAGAGTTGCCTGCACCCCGAGTGGTGGCAATAAATTCAATAGCAGACTGGAGTAAAATGGGACAAATCAGTAATTTAAAACTGCTTCCATTTTTAAGGGGGTTAGTTCAGTTAATATTTTCTGAGTTTTATGAAGCATTTCTTGGCTTATTCTGCAAGAAAGAGTATAGATTATTAAACTATAACTTTCATTTACTAATGTAGTGTAAGAAGAACATTAATACACAACTGAAACACTAAGGAAGTGTATATGAAGTTCATTAGAACTTCTATTAATATTTTCAAAGAAGTGAGAAATGGGATACCTTTCAACTAGCTTTACACCACTGTAATGAAAATCCTTATACTCAGGTGGATTTTATTTGCCATATAGATCACTTGCAAGACTACCATTCACTTACAATATTTTTCCATATTTTCTCAGAATTCTTGGAATTTAAAAATAATCCTTCAAAATAAATAAATAAACAATTAAATCAACAAAATAACAAAACAGCCAAAACCTCCTCACTAAAATGATGCCAAGAAAATAATTATAAATAACAATATTTAATTAACATATGAGTAACAATAATTAAAATCCAATAACAATCATAATAAACATTAAATATTTATATTAAATAATGATGTTAATAAAATATTAGCTTGCTAGTAGTTATTTCCCATGAAAGCCTAACTTCTTACTGGATAATTAAGTGGAATGTGATTTTAATTAAAAAAAAAAAAAAAGGACACAAGATTTTCTAATACATATCACACATAGTTAAAAGTTAAAATTAGGTACCATTTACATCAGTGTATGTTACATGGTTCTAGATTAACCTCTCACCTACTGATTTCATATTTATCCTGTTTCAGATGCATGTAATCACACCAAGCAAAGGCCATGTCCTAGCAGGGAGCATGCTAGACTTTCTGATGAGCAAGCACAATGGATCTATGGATGCAAAAGCACTGTGCCTCCACAGATGTATTGTACCCATATTTTCCAGTTAAGAAGATATGTCCCTCCAGTGGTTCTCCTTTTAGGACCCCAAAAGATATTGCTGAAAAGACAACTGAAAAATTATCTCCATAGAGGAGACAACGCTCCTCAAACTTCTGGGTGGTAAAAATTTAATACAGAAAATATAAAATTTGGCGTGGACAAGACACCAGATGTCAAAGTACAAAGGAAGAAGGAGATGTCCTTTGAAAAGAAAAATCTCTAATATATACACACAGTTAGGATTTAAATTTCATTTTTCCATCAGTACTTTGAATTGGGAATATGAAAAAGTTGTCTTAGAAAATGATGGAGAGGTCTGCAACCCTGTATGCCACAAGGAGTTTATGTCTTTGATAATGCAACTATGCAGCTTTATACAAATCAAGGCTGCAGATGTGCTTCCCATAAATGCACCTCCCTAGATATATGACTTCCTTCTTTTTTCCCTTCAGTACCAGTGCATAAAATAACATAATAAATCTGGGAGCACAGCTTGATATTACACTACACTGATGTTTAAGATATACTGTAAAAGATTAATAGTTTTGGTTATAAATATGCAGTGCATGCACATCTTCTCTGAAACAGCTGAAGCATGTGAACATAATGAGCACCAAGTTCTGCATAGACTAAGCATATTCTCCTTGGGTTTTTTTTAACTTTTACAGAACAATCTCCTTGAAGATTTCAAGGAATATATTGTATTTTAAGAGGGCTTTTAATGGATGGGAGTCAATCCACATTTTCTTTGGCAAATCCACATTTTACTTTGTTACTGAACAAACTCTTTTAGACCTCAATTAGCCAAAGCAAGCCTTTTTTGATTTAATTAGACCACTAAGCTACTTTTGAAGGAAAATACTCAAAGTAGAAAACAGATATAAATGAAAGGCAAAACAAAATCAGATGCAGCATGGAACAGCATGGACTTTGCACAGCTGTTTCCTGTTGTACAAAGGCTTCCAGTGAAAGAAGTATACTGACAAAGGCATTGAGCTCACATGAGATAGATGATTTCATTTTCATGCCAGTATAGGTTTCTTTAAAACACTATTAATAGAATCACTTTCCCTTAGAAACATGCCTAGCTGAGATCCATCTAGTCAAATTTCAGTATTAGACCTCTTTTTCATCTGCAAGTGTCATGATTATACTTATTTTCATATAAAACCTCGTATGTTTAAAATGTAAATGCATTTCAGGCTTAGACTCAGCTTTTTCAGAA